GGGGGGGGGGGGGGGGGGGGGGGGGGGGGGGGGGGGGGGGGGGGCGTAGACTTGACTCTTGAAAGCGAGCCAAGAGCGCACGCAGCCTTCGGTGACACGGCGACACGGCGACAGCTCATTGGACCGCTACCACCATCCCACTTCCGCGTCATGGCGCACCACATAGGGTCTTGAACGCGTGCGTTGCGCGACAACCGAAACCGTCGCAGCGATCGCCGCTTGTCCCAAGGAGGTGAAAAACTCGTGGACTTTCCAACGACAAAGTACATCCAAGCAAGATGAGTGAAAGCGGAGCCGATTGGGTGTGTACTTGGCACCACACCTAAGAACAAAGAATAAGAGGCACCAAATGAGTCACAAGGCCCAACGTCGCCAAGGCTGATGACCAAATACGAGCTCGCGGGCAGCATATACCGGAGGGGACTCCTTGACGACAGTTTCATCGACGAGTCCCCTCGGGTACACCTGACATGCCTCTCCCGGTGCAAAAGGCTGCTAAGGAAGTACATAGCAAAACGGCGACGGACATACAAACACTACACACGCAGAAAAAACAAAAATACTGGTATCATGCAGGCTTGGGACAAAGTGTAACGCACCTCCTCGCCGTCAGAGACCGGTCTGTGCCCCCCCTTCAACGCCCCGCCTGCTTCCAGTTCCTGATCCCACGGTGCCGCTTCTTCAACACCGCCATTACCTACTCCTCTCCCCCCGCTTCCTCCGTTGAGGAAAGAAGCCATCTCGCCGAGTTCGTTGTCGGCGGTAGCGGTCTCCTCGGCATCCGCCATTCGGGCCTTTACCAGTAAAAAGTAAACGTAATGTGTAGGCTTAAGTAGACTCCAAGAAACCTGCGAAAACTACATATCAAGGCTTAAATAGACTCAAAATAAGGTATCCAGCAGGTATATCCCCTCATCCATTGGGAAGATTTCAACGTATCCGCTTCGACTGTTGTGGTTTTATCTCCAATAGGCAGTCTCTCTTTGTAAGTCCTAGAAAAACAGCAAGGCTCTGCGTGATGACGTCAACACCGTTGCCGGGATGGGCATTGCTTATTTGCGTGTGTGTGTGTCCTCAATCGTTAGCATCGACCACGCTCACAGGCTGGCCAATGAAAACACGCCAGCCTCGAAAGTGTATACTGCTGTCGCGGTGGTCTTACATGTCGCTAGTACCTTTTCGATGCGGGCTCTTCGTTCCAGCTCCCACTCATCGTCCTTGTCCCCCTTGCTTCCCGACGACCTTCTCCAGATACCGCCCCCTCCAGCCCCGCCGCTGTTGCCGTCTCGTTCATTCCCCAGCATGCGCGAAAACGAGGATGATCCTGCGGAAGAAGCCGGGGGCGCCTGCACTGGCGCCGCAACTGGGACCCCCCTGCCCCCTGCCAATGTCCGACAAAGCATGAACTAAGGTTACCCCGCTGCCCTCATCAACGCTTGTCTGCGGGTTCATCATACGGGAATGTGCAGCTATAGACGAGTGTGCGGTCAAACTACGCCAGAAGATGACACAGAAAAGCCCACCTGCAGCTTCCCCTAACCCGCCCCCGCCCCCCACCTGGCCCCTCGCCATGTAGGTTTATGGATAGCCGACCCAATTCTCTTGCCAGCGTCACGGAGACGTAGAGCCGCACTGGTGTTAGTCTTTCTGTCGTGTGTAATGTTTTCGTCATCCCCGTCGCTCCCCCTACCTCCCTCCCTCCCTCCCTCCCTCCCACGTCTCCCATCACCTGTACCGTTGGCCGCCGCCGCTTCCCCCTTCTGCATCGCCAGCGCCAGCCGGTAGTCCTCCTCCATCTGCCTACGCTCGTCCGCCGTTACCGCGAAATTTCTCAGGTGGTTCTCCGCGTCCGGCTGGAAGGGGGCGTAGTGCGCGTCCGTTGTGCCTTGCGCTCCGCCACCGCCGCCGCCGCCGCCCATCCCGCGGATTCCCGCCACTGCAGTGCCGGGAGGGATAAGGCGGCTGCGCTCCCACTCGGTGTGACGGGTCTCCACCTGGTGGTAGTTAGAAGGGTGGAATATGGAAGGAGGCTGGGGGGGGACGTACTCTTATGTTTTGCATGCCTTAGCGGTTAACCCATTGACCACGCGT